ATATAGAATGACTGAAAATTTTTGCGTACAGTGTAAAATTGACAGGTATCCATTTCTTTTTGCCTTGCATAGTTGTGATTTTTTTCCCCCTTCTAAAAACAAATACTCAAATCAGGCAGGGGCTTTGTCTTAAATTCACTAGTTTATGTAGTGTAGTGTAGTGCACAAACAAGTGCCTTAAATGTACAAAAATACATACCCACTGAATAAATGAAAACTAATCACCATTTCTCCTCTTTTCATGTTAAAAGAAAGCATAAACAACAAAAGAGAAAACATACAATACTATCATGGATAGAGGTGGAATAAAAAAATGCATTTTGTTTTCTTTGATTTAGATTTATGGATGAAAACGTAAAATTTTCAGATGTTGCCATATTCTCTAATTAGAATCGAAATGTTACATAAACTTCTAGTAATTTCCCCTTTGACATTTTTCCCTTATGCTTGATTTTTATTGAGAAGCAAGATGTTATTCTTCTATTAAAAAACACTGCTCTCACCCAAATGACATGCTTTTGAAAGTAAAAGAAAAAAGCCCCAAACACAAGATTTTGGCTATCCATCCTCTCAGCTGGTATTCCTACAGATTTACAACATAAAATTGAATTATATAACATGTACAGTGTGCCCTACAGAATCACAACCAACTGAGTATCTATATATACATACACACACGGTGTGCTAAGTATTTGCATTATTAAAATAATAAAGAAAATGAATGAAAAGTGTAAGTATATATTTTTACAGATAGATACATTTATCAGAATTAATTTGTATAAGTATATATATTTACGGATAGATACATTTATCAGAATTAACTTGTGATGGCCAGAACTCAATAGAATGACTTTGTTTTTCTGGTCTCCTAAGTTTTCCACTTTGACAGGCTGTTATAGTTGTTGTTATGTGCCACTGAGTCAGAACCAACCCCCAGCTGACCCTCCAGCAGGTTTTCAAAGGCAATCTATTGCACAGATTGCCCATCTTTCTCTCACGGTATAGCTGGTGGATTTGAACAGCGTGACTCTCCACTAGCAGCGTAAATCCTTACCCCCGTGCCAGTCTTGTATTTCACAAAAATTTTGGATTTCTGGGTTCTACTAATATGGTATAAAGGATAAGTATCTAAAAATATTTAAAAATACTGATTACTGTTAGGTAATAATTTCATTATTATCACATTCTAAATCACTTCATGGTCAGAGATAATTCAGTACTAAAGTTTGCGATACAACTGCTACTTAATGTAAAGTTGGTGGTTTAAACCCAGTAGTAGATTCATGGGAGCAAATGTTCACTCACTATCTGCCCCCTTTAAAAGGTTATAATCTAGAAAACTGTACGAAGTTGCCTTGCTAATACAGAGGTGGTACCTCTGGTAGTTCAAATTCACAGCAGCTTAGAGGGAGAAAGATGGGCAATCTTCTCCTGTGCATGATTCAGAGCTCTGAGTAGCTTTCTGACTCCCTGACAGTGAAGGAGTTTCAATGTCACAAAGGGGCACTAAGTTGAAAACTGACTTGACGGGCATCCAATTGCAACAGAAAAGTTACTGAATAGAGGATAAAAAAAGAGAGGAAGCTGGTGGTCTAAATTTTAAAGAGAAAATAGAAACTTCAGAAAATGATTTCATTTTATAGAACTTAATGGTTCTGCTCCCGTTCTGTGAAGAGCTTCCAAGGTTTTTAATTTCTAAATAAAAATACTTTTAAAATTAAGCCAAGTCACTTAACTGATATTATAGAAATATTCTACAGTAATGAGAAGTATATAAAATTAATTTGTAAAAATATCCACAAAACAAACAAAAATTCAGAATTAATGTACAAATAGGTTTGAAAAGGGAGCTCTGTGGCCTAATGGCAAGCTGCAATGTAATACCAAGGGACATGGTTCAAATCCACTAGATAATCTGCTGGAGAATAAGGGGCAATTTCCTGTGCCAGTCGGATCTGACAACACACAGCAAATAATAACGATAATGATAATAATAATAGGTTTGAAAAGCACAGCCAACTGGATATTAGTAATATAGGGTAACAAGAAAATGACTTCTACATAACTCTTAAATAACACTCTATTATTTTGATATACTAAAATGCTTTTGTATTCCAAGTTGACATTTTTTTTTATACTAGAAGAGAGACCCTGAGGGCTTGCTCCATGGTTAAAATGCTCAGCTGTGTATCAAAAGGTTAGTAGTTTGAACCTCTCTGTTGTTCCCAGGGAGAGACGTGGCAGTCGGCTGACTGACTACTCAGTCCTACTGGGTCACTAGGAGTTGGAATTGATTCCACAAAAGGCTAGGTTTGGTTTGTACTGGAAGAAACCTAAAGGTAAGATGGATGAACATCGTCCCACACAAAGAACTCCAGGTATTAAAGATTTGTTATATGTTTACATTTCCACCTTATTATTTGGTTTTCAGAACACTGTTTCTTGTAATTTTTAATTTAAGCAAAAAGAAAACACCTCTTAATTTTGTTCACATGTATCCTAGACAGGTTCTAAAACGAATTAATTTTAACTGCTTATCAGATAATTATTTTTTTAAAAAAAATTTATTTTATTTCATTATTTTTTGTTGTACTGTCAAATCAGATCTGACTGGTACAGGAGGAGATTGTTCCTCCTTCTCCAGCAGAGCGCCTGGTGGATTCGAACCGTGCATCTCTGAGACTGCAGTTGCAGCTTCTTGCCACTAGGCCACCAGAGCTCACTCAGGTAATTCTTAAGAAAAGTTTTAGATGGTTTAAAAAATGAGGGATAAAACAGACTTTGGTTACAGCTTTTTAAAATGCTAGGCTTTTTATTTTAAAGGTTGCATATTATTAAATAATGCAATAAATAAGTTAAAATTTTTCCACATAAATAGGATGTATCTTTTCATGGATAAAAGCGTTAAAATTCAAACAATTCAAATTAACATAAACTCAACTCACTATCATTGCAGGCAGGAAACAACACGACTACAAACTTGGCTCAGAATATTCAACTTTTCAAGAGTCACGTATAGCACTACATTAAGTAGCTAGGAAGTCAGCTCTTTTTGTTGGTTTTGGGTTTCTGGGTGGCTGGTTTCTTCACAAGTAGATTGCCAGGCTTTCTTCCTAGTGACTTTTGTATGGACTCAAACCTCTCCTGCCTTTCCATTAGAAGCTGGGTGTGTCAACTTTATCACCTAGGATCTTTCCACATTTTCCTCACAAATACTGTACACAGACAGCATGCACACAGGACTATTTAGTGAGGGGCAGTATGGTCTGCAAAATATGTGTGGAGTTAGAAATGCCTTAAGATCCATTTATACTTGGAAATAACAAAGAAAGCAGTGTTGTTTTAAAATGGACTATATAAAAAATAACTTTTAAAAAGTGTAACTACACAACAAGATAAACAACCCAAAGGAAAAACGGACACATGAGATGAACAGACACTTCACCAAAGGCGACATTCAGATGGCGAACAAACACATGAAGAAATGTTCAAAATCCCTAGCTGTAAAAGAGATACAAATCAAATCAACTATGAGACATCATCTCATCCCATTAAGAATAACAAAATTTAATAGACTGCAAACAACAAATGCTGGTGAGGTTGTGGAGAAACTGGAACCCTTATTCACTGTTGATGGGAGTGTAAAATGGTGCAACTACTATGGAGGGCCATATGGTGCTTTCTCAAAAAAATTGGGAATAGAAATACCATTGGACCCAGCAATTCCATTACTGGGGATGTATCCTAAAGAAACCAGAACTGCCACACAAGCAGATATACGCACACCCATGTTTATCGCGGCTTTGTTCACAATAGCAAAGTGTTGTAAACAACCTAAGTGCCCATCAACAAACAAATAGACAGAGAAGCTGTGGTCTATCCACACAGTGGAATACTACGCTGCAATGAAAAACAAAGAACTCATGAAATATTCAAAATGGAGGACATTATGCTGAGTGAAATATCTCAGTCACAAAAGGACAAATATTGCATAATGCCACTGTTGTAAAATGGGACAGACATTGGGGTTGGAGGGAGACTGAGAAAGACTGAATAAAAAGGGATATATGATTAGGGATTATTGTCATAACAGGAGACCAGAATGAAGGTTGCATAGTGGAGTGGACTTGGGGAAAGGAATTGTATAACAATGAAAGAATTTGTCTTTTAACTTTTCAAAACGAAGGCTGAATAGTGGAATGGATTTGGGGGGAGGGATTGTATAACAATGAAAGAATTTTACTTTTCAAGGAGACGAGCGAACTGGGGACTAATACAAACTATATCATTAGCAAATTACATCTGTTTTAAACTTATTACCAAAATTTTAGGGATTTCAGTGCTAAAGACCTCAGAAGTCAATGTTTTATGATGAATTTATCTATATTCATTCAAGTAGAATAATCAAACTTCAGAATGAACTACTTTAACTCCATGAGTCCCAACAATTATTCAAATACTGGGTAAATAAACAGTTGGTTTAAAATCCACCAGCTGCTCTGTGAGAGAAAGATGAGCAATCTTCTTTCCTGCAATTTACAGCCTCTGGAAACTCAAAAGAGGATAAGTTATAAGTTGATTCCAACTCAACAGCATATAACAACATTTATCTAATTAGGTTTATGAGTTATAAGCGAGCCTTAGTGGCCTAGTGGCAAGAAGCTGTGCTACAATCCTAGAGGCAGGCACTTCAAATTCACCAGCTGTTCAGAGGAAGAAGGATGGGCAATCTCCACCCATGCGATTAGCTGCCTCTTAAAACCCAGTGGTGGATCAGCTGTGGGTTGGTTCCGACTCAACAGTACACAACAACGAACTTTGAGATCACAGTATCTCCAGTTGCTTTTGGAAAGTACTGGTATTATTAAACTCACAGTCGTACGCTTGCTTGCTATAATGACTAGGAGACTGTGCCTTCCCTGATAATTTTAATGAAAACTTTGTTAAAAATCCTAAAGCTGGAATACTAATAATATAGGAAAAAAAGTACCCATATGTGAATTTTAATGTGTGATGTTTTTTATTTACAACTTTATTGGCAAAAAGGAAGAGAGAGAAGTTGAGAACAATTTAACACAGGGTATCATGGCTGATCCTGTAAGATCAAAAAGGCTCCCTCTCAAATAGCCATCTAATTGTCCAAAGATATACAACACTGAATTTGCATATGTTATTTCTTCTGTGAAGTACAGTGTTCATATTTAGGCAATCTTTATAATACATAAATACAAAGGAAATAAAATCACTCATTAAAAACTGCATTAAATGAAATCTTTTATATTTGGGTTTATGTTGTTCCTGGTAATAATGCATGCCCAATGAAAATCAAAAGCTGGAAAAGCAGTTATACTTCTTGAGTGGACAGTTACAACAATCATTTTCTGAAATGACCACATTTCAATTTATCATGAACTACTCTGAACTTACTATGAGATGTAGTCAAAATTGGAAGAGAAGAAGTAGGGAGAACATTCCTTTCTTTGGAGAGTAAGCTCTCCAGAATCAGCAAGGTAAATAAACATATCCTGTTGAAGAATTCTAGGTGGAACAAAATTTATGTAGTCACTTTCAACTCATACTGAGCTTACTTAATTTGTTCATTAAGTTGCTTAGTGTCATTCTTCTAAATCAAGTGTGTTTAATTCTTCTTCTAGCTCATCCAAATCTTCCCCAGTGAACAGATTTTCATCAACAGGAACAGCATCAATGGCTCCATTTCCCCGTACTGCCCTTTCGTTGTCCTCTTCCAAATCACTTCTTTCCCCATTTTCAGCCTGACCTCCAGAAGCTTCACTCAATTTGTTTTCTAAAAAAAAAAAAAGAGAAAGCAGTAAGACCCAGAAACAGAATGCTATTATACTAGCCAAGTCACAGAACGACATTTTATCTCTTCTTTTTCCCTTCTAACTGACCACTTTCCTGGGATTACTTCAGCAAAAAGGAATCTTCTTAGGAGTTTGTTTTTATCAATTATTTAAACCTAATATAAACTCTTATAAGCATATAGATACTTAATGGTTTATACATTTTTGGTACAGCAGACTGATTGTTCAAAATGGCTTTCCTATGATTATCCCCCCCCCTCATTGCGTACCGTCAAATTGGATCTGACTGGCACAGGAGGAGATTGCCCCTTCTTCTCCAGTGGAGCATCTGGTGGATTTGAACCCTATGCCTTTGGGATTGCAGCAGATTCTTGCCACTAAGCCACCAGAGCTCTCCTACCATTGGCCCTGACTTTCTTACCACATGGCTGGACTGGCATTGTTGTGCAAGAATCACCTCACAGCTAACTCACAAGAATTTGCAGAGGAAATAAATCACATTGGAAAAGACTGCCTATCTTTCTCCTCAGGAGCAGATGGTAGATACAAACTGCATGCCTTTGTGTTGGCAGCACAATTACTTGCCACAAAGCCACCAGAGCACACCATGGTTGCGATGCTAACGTGAATGAGTTAAATAATACCATCTGGGGTAGCAAAACGCAAATAAGGAGCTAAGGTATAGATTGGTCAGTCTTGCCGCCCCTCCAGGCTTAAAATAAGCAAATTCAGCAGCAGAAAAGTGAATCTTGGTTATAATAAAGCAGCAACAGAGAGCAGCAGCATACCCTTTTGTGAGACAAACCCAGGTTCAACACCAGAGTACCAATAGCACAGGTAGTGCAGAACTAGTAACTGATGTTATGATGGACCTGAACACAACTGATGTTTCATGGAACCAGAGTCAAAGAACTCAGCCCAAGCTTACTGGAGGTCAAGGGGGAGATGATATAATTAGCAGGATTAAAAGAACTATGGAAGATTGGCCCAGAGCCATGAGCTTGAAAGCCATAAAGCCTACTTTAAGGAAGCATATTTGAGACACTTTTGTCCTGATCAAAAATTGTACCTCATTTCCAACCTGCATTATAACTTTTACTCCCCTAATAAAGGCCAAAGATACGAGTATGGTCTATGAGTTGTGTGTAGCCAGTGCAACAGATAAGCAGACCCAGTAGTAGAGTGGTGACAGCCCTGGAAGCAATGTTTGATGTTAAAATGGGGGGGGAAAAAAAGAGGTGCAGGAGGATAGGCACATGTCTAATCTCATGGTTTTGTACTGTTCATGATGGGGTGGGGCCTTGTCCATCTTGTCGATGTCAGATGTGGCTGGCTCCATGCTATCCAGATGGTTTTTCCTTTCTTGAGGGAAAGATCCATCTTATAAACTTACTATTCTCTGTATAACTTCTGTGTCAACTTCCACATATTTTGTCTGAATAAATAATTATGTAACCAAAAAGTTCATTCATTATATAAGTAATGATTTAGCTTTTATTTTCACAATAGTTTTTATTTTTAAATCATACTAGCTATAAGATTATAAATGAGTACACATCTAGAAACATTTCATTACATGGTTAAAATCGTGGAGGGAAAAACTGCACAAACAAAATATGGAGAGATATAAAGCTACTTAGCCTAATAGGAGATAAACCACATCACTATTTACACAGAAAAGTTTTAATAGACCAAACTGTGCAGCTCTGCAACTGCATACTGGCCCATCCTCACCCTTCTGCCCCCAACCCTCACCTCCTTGTACCCCCAATATGTTTTTCCCAATAAAAAAAAAATATTAAAAAAAAAGTTTTAATAATCTAATTTCAAAATTCTCTGATAATAAATAATAGATTGGTATTTGCAACTGCTGAAGTACTTTTGTGAAGAGAAAGGGATTACGTAATAAAGGAATGATCTAAATAATATCATGAAGGAAAGGGAAGATGCATGGAGATATAGAAAGATTAATGGAAATAAAATTACAGGGAGATAATGGGAAGGGTACTGCTACATTACAGGTATTGCAAACAGTGTTACAAAGCATGATTCATTGTAAACTTCCATTTAAATCTCTCTCACACACAAAATTTTAAAGGTTACTCCCACCCAGTGTTTACATTTTAACAATGCCACCAGACAACATGATCACAGATGGAAAAGACTGAAGATGTCAGTGATTTCATTTTACTTAGATCCACAAACACCACTCATGGTGTAGCAGCAGTCAAAAAGTACTGCACCCAGGAAATGTGCTGTCAAGAACCCCTCCAAAGTTCGAAAAAGCATGGATGTCAGTTTAAAGATCAAGGTGTGCCTGATCCAAGCCATGGTATTTTTCAGTTGCTTGCTATAAGGATGACAGAAGAGTTGACCCTTTTGAATAGTGGCATTGGTGAAGAGTAGTCAGCATATAATGGATTGCCTAAAGAACAAATCCACCTTTAAAGAAGTGCAACCAGAGTGCTCCTTAAAAGCAAGGAGAGCACATATTCCAGTAGAACCAATCCCTGGAGAGAAGCTGAGAAAGGTGGAAGGTCAGGAGAGAAGGGAAGACTTTTAACAAGAAGACTGATATAATGACTACTATAAGATGGTGAAGACAGGCAAGGTGTAGATCTGTTATCCACAGGGTCACTATGTAAGTCACAGGTGACTTGACATCATCTAACAACAGGCCCTAATAAAAAATCCTTCCTCATGACCATGTCTCTCCCTCCAAGTTTTTAAGAGTGGATAGTGTACTCATTCTTCTCATTACTCATATCACTTGTAATTCCTATGATTAACTGGCACCATTCCTGTAAATGCTCGCCTAATTGCAACTAATGACCTATTTGCAATTATTATCCCACTTGGTTTTTCAGCATTCTTCATTTCTATTTCTTAAACTGCCTCCTCCCCAGATCTTTTTTCTGATCACAATGTCTGTCTTTTGCTTTCCCTAAAATACTAGTACGTGTAGCATTCCAGTATGTTCTCATTCTGTGCATTATTATATCCGGGTCACCTCACTCACTTGTAATTCTCAATGCAAATTACTTTTAAACTTTTTCTTATGTTGTTGCTGTTGTTGTTCCTAGGCAATGCCACTTTAATGACCCCAAAATCTCTTACTCATGAGCTCCCAAGCTGAACTCAGACAAGTCTTAAAATTAACTGTTTCATTGTGATCTGAGTCAAAGTTTACAAAGCATTTTGCTGTGTAGCATTAAATACAATAACCCTAACTGCAGTATCTCCACTTCTACCCTGTGATTCTCATTTCTAGTCTACACCTTCTATCTTCTGGGCTTTATTTTTGGACAAATCTTAATCTTTGACTTTACAAGGCTGGTTGTTCTAAGGCACGGCTACCACCTTGGTATTATTCTGAAGGCCAATTGGTCTCTTGTTTGGCCAGAAGTTGAACCATGGGGCAAATTTTGCTCTAGGTTCAAGGATGAATAAAAGATCAGTTTTGGGAGGGGAGGGAAAAGGTGTTTAACATTCTCCACCAGTAAGCATGGCCTTTTTAATGTTTTTGAGTATTATTCTACATTTTTCTCCACTCTATCCAGGATCTTCTAGAACAATTAGCGATGGTAGCCAAGAACTATCTATATCTCAGGGTCGTGGAGGTTGAGGTTTGAATGGTCTCCCAGTCTGTTCCAGACAGGGGGAGACTAATAGTTGTATCTTGGATAGCTGCTCACAAGCTTTTAAGGCCCAGTTAGATGTAGAACATTGTTTTGGTGGACTATGTTACGCCAAATGACTTTTGATGTCTCTCAAAACTGTATCTCAAGACCCCAGAACCAGTAACTCATTCACTTGAGGTGGGTTATGCTTGAGAAACTTTCAAAGAATTGCCCCCTGGCTCTGCTATATCTTAATTTTCTCCCCTCAATTTTAGTAAATGGTAGTCATCAATTTCTAAACTCCACCACTCAAAATTACTTTATATTACTTGTCTGTTAAGTATAAACAGCTCAGCTTACAAGGCCTAGCCAGACCTTTCTGTAAGGGGCCCAGGTTACATGGTGGTTAAAACATTTGGCTTCTGATCAAAAAGCTGGTGGTTTGAAACCATTAGCCACTTAAAGGAGAAACATGAAGAAGCCCATTTCTGTAAGAATTACAGCTCTATTTTGCCCTACATGGCTAGTGTGAGTCAGAAACTACCTCAGGGCAATGGGTTTGATATTTTTAGTTTCCAAATGCGACAAATCAATTGACTGGCATCATGTGACTCATAGCTGATCCTCCGGCTCGTTTTGAGAGGCTATAAATTCGCCCAGGAGAAGATGCCCATTTTTTCTCCCACAGAGCAGCCATTGTAATTTAATTACTTGCTTTTGGGTTGGTTCCTTACCCACAAGAGCTGGTTGGGTTTTTTTAAATAGCTTCTCAGTCTTAGAATCAGGCAAAATTTAGCATACTTACCGTCTTTTTCTGATGTGTATGTGCTGAATCTTTCAAGACTGGCAACAGTAATACCGGTCTCATCTACATCTCTTGGAATGTACAGGCTTACATCAATGTCATTTACACTCACAGAATCATCAACCTTTAACATACAGAAAAGAAAGTTGTTACAAATAAGAGTAATTGTCATCAATATTCAACAACTCAATTAACTGTTGGTATTTATCTTAATGAAACGAAATTAAGTAAAAATGAAAATTTGAGTACATCCCTTGAAAAAGAACAGCACTTAAGTCACATATGACGTTATCTCCTTTGATAGCATATTCTTACATATAAAGAACATATCATAGTCTTTTATTTCAACTTAAATTCTTAAACATATAAAAACTAACAGGAACCTATTGGTTGCTACTAAGTTTGCCTAGGACAACTAATTCTATAGTACATGCTTGGATTTCTAGTATAAAATTTTCAACGATCTTCTAGAGGTGGTATAAAAGCACATACTTTTAAATTCAATACATGTAGCAATTAAGTTCTTCATAACTGTTAATCTATTTAATTCTCATAAGTGTCCTAGGATGATGGAATTATTATTATGCCCATCTTACATACAAGAGTAGAACTCCTGAGTATAAATTATTTCCTGTAGTTTGAGTCATAACTTAAACTTAGCAGTCTGGGCCTCTTATTCATGATTCTCTACTTTCTCTTAATTAACATAGAGAGATAAGGTACCAACATTTTATCTTACCTCATCACCACTTGCTCCCTGCGTGTAACGTGTATCATCTGCTTCCTCATCATCATCATTAACCAGTTCTGGACGAAATTCAAACACCTCACGACCACTGATCACTAGTGCTTTCCCTGCTTTGAAGTCTGCTTTCCTTCTTTCAATATCTTGTTCAAGTTTATCAATCTGTTCTTGTCTTTTCCTTTTTTTCCATGCAAGAAAAGATTCTAGAGTGATTTTGGTAACATTGGAACCTAAGGCAGAACGCTGGAAAGAAAAAAATAATAAATTTTTCCACAGAGTCACCTAAAAAGTGTTTAATAACAGTTTAGATGGCAGTGAGCAAAATGAGCGTCCAGAGATATACTTTGGAACATAGTAAAATACAATCTTTTGAAGTAAAATTCTTTGGGGAAAAAAAAAGACTCAAAATTGGGTCTTGAAAATTATTTTAAATTGGGCTAAGTGGTAGATAAAGTTATAAAGCACCATAACAATGCCAAAGGTTCAGTTGTGTTTCTCAGAAGAAAGAAAACACATCACTTGTTACTTAAGGCCAATAATCAGTTAAAAATACTTAAAAAATATTATATGCAAAGGATCTGCCAAGAATTTTGCAATCTCTATACATTTTTATAGTAGTCTCCTACAATTAAGTGGAAAATGTCAAGAATTTTCTTATCAAAGCTATTAAGTGGTAGAACTAGGATACAAGTAATATTTCATCTCTCAATGTCAACGTTTTCTATGGTGAACTGCATGAGAAATCAAACAATGTCAATTTAAGAGCAAATGAATAACTGGAGCCATGTTTTTCATATGCATATTATTGACATAAAAATATTTAAAAAGAATAAATGTATATGGTTAATATTATGAAATGGATTAAAATATATTCAAACCTAAATTTAATAACTCCAACAACCTGTTATCTGCTAATTCATAGATAACTCTTTTGTGCTGAGCTACACACAGTGGTGAAAGATGCTCAGACTCCTATGGTTCAGTAAAGTGAGTCCAGAGATCACAACAAAATATGTAACAAAGCTACTTTGAGGAAAGGTCAAAATTTTTTTTCTCAGTTCACAACACGGTATCACCCCCAAGTGGTAATTACAGAAACTTCACAAACATGGTTTTTTGTTTTTGTTACCTCTTTCTCAATGAGATCTTCTAATGAAATTGCATCTTCTTTCTCTTCTTTCTTTTTATCTTTTTTCAACACAAATCCAGGAGGTAGGGCATGCCGATACATGCACATATCACCTCCTCCAGGGCATACCCAAAACCAGCCATACTTGTTGTTTTCAATAGCTTCAAGGAAATGCTTACACACCTACAAAGATAACAGTATTCAAAGTGGCACCTCAAAGTAATCCATTTTCGAGAGAAATGCTTACGTAGACAGAGTAAATACATTTTTATTTACATCCTTGGTCTACAATCTGTCCTTACAGCTGAATTTTCACATTTATTTTCAGCGGAGCAAAGTATAAAAAGAACACAAAAGACAATGGTCTTTGAAAACAGAAAGAACTTCCTTTTACCCTCAAAATACAAAGGAGGCAAGTAAAACTAGTATTTAGAATTTTTGAGTACACACAATTTTTAACTCTAACTGATACACAAATAATTTGTGGGCATGAATTTTGGGGACAATTGCAGAAGTGTTAAATCTAGCTTTTGAGCTGTATTTTAATTTTTCCAACAATTTAAATAATCCTATAAAAAATAGCAGCAAATACCTTGCTACATAATTATAATGATAAACACCACAGCAACTCAATTCAAGAAAAGGACATACTATTTGAGTTTTTGGTTTTTTCTTTTCCGCCTCACCGTGCTTCTTGTTCACTACTTCTTGCAGTTTTTTCTCATCCCAATTATCCATGGTATCTAAATAAAGACAAGAAGAATGAATACTATAACCTTATGTATGATTCTAAATAGACACTACATCTCTCCTTCAACAGACAATGAACGTGCTTAACCCATCACATTTTGCTTTAAAATCCAAAGGAAGGGCTAAAAAGTGTTTCAAGTATATTTTTTAAAACCCCCAGCTTCCTAATTGGTTAAGGCTGTTGAAAAACTACTAGTGGAAGAAAGGGTAAGACATAAAAACCAAATTTCATTTTTAAGCATTTTAGTTTACATAATCATTTACAACAGTTAAACTATTTAATATGGTAAATTCAGATTAAGAAAACAAAAAGCAGTAACAAACAAAAAAGAACCATAAAGAATTCCAACTAAGTTCTCCAAACTGTACTTTAATAGACCAAAAGTAATAATAATTTCTTTTTAATGAAATGTCTCAAAAATACCTTTTTCAAGTTCTTCATCTCTAGCATCAATGTAAACACTTCGTTTTTCACATTTTCTCTCCAAAGTCAAGTCATGAGAAAATTTACACTTATCTCCTTTAGTACACTGTCCTTGTTTAAAAAACGCACATACTACGGATTTGGGATCTGCACCTGTATCAAACGACATGTGATAATTATAACTTATATCAGCAATAGAATTACTTTTCGGTAACTTATTTTAAATTCACTGATGTCAGAGAAAAACATGTTACTTATAGATGACAGCTGCTGCTGTTACGTGCCCTTGAGTCGGAACTGACTCCGGCAGGTTTTCAGAGGCAGTAAATCACAAAGAAGACTGCCCATCTTTTTCTTGCAGAGTATAAATGACTAGTAGCACACTTAAAGTTCTTTTCAGATAATTTCCTATTTACTGGTTTTATTCTGAATTAAAAAGGGGAACAAGTAGTGGAAAACTAAGTAAGTGCATATATTATGTGGAGTGAAAAATAACAAATATAAAAGAAAATATGCTGCCAAAAGCTCGAGGCTTACAGCTACACAGCTACAGCTTTGCCTATCATTAAATACAGACAGAACTAGTAACCTGTCACAACTCTTAAATACGCCTTCAGCAGCAGGGGCAAATGGCTATAGTTATTTCTGTACAGTAACAGAGCTGTGCACACAAACACAAACTAGGTTATAATTTGACAAAATAAGTATCAGAAGACTGTATCAAAGGTATGATACTGAAATGGTTATGACTCCTCGTTTGGGAAATAATAATTTTTAAAAGTGTAAGAAAAAGACCTTTGTGTAAAAAAAAAGTTTCTAACATAAATTATGGTTGATAAAAATAATACCTTAGAGGTTTAAAGTTTACCTTTACTTATTTTCTGAGCAGCAACTACAGGTCTGAACAATTCATTTAGCTCCTGTAACTCCTTCTTCTTGTCATCTTTCTTCAATTTCTTCTCAGCTTCACTTTGTGCTACCT